AGACATCGAAAAGGACAGAAGTGCCAAACTTAAGTTATCAGCTTCTCTGCTGAAAGTGCAGGCGGCGGCGGGGGTGTGTCTCACGCCTGAATTCCCAGCACTTTTGAGAGCCAAGGCGGATGTGGATCACGGAGCTCAGGTATGTTCCAGACCGCCTGGCCAACAGGTGAAACTCCTCTTTACTAAAATACAAAATTAGCAGAGTGCGGTGACGCACTGGATCCCAGCTACTCAGGGAGACTGAAGGCAGGAATCGCGGAAAGCTGGGGGGAGGCGGAGGTTGCAGTGAGCCGAGATCATGCCACTACACTCTAGCGCTGGACGACATAGGAGGACTCGCATTCTCAAAAACAACAAACAAACAAACAAACAAACCCAAAATGCAAGTAGAGAGACTGTGGATTGTAGTAGGAGGTGATGTTAGTCAGGGTTCTGAGACACAGAAATAGTAGGATGTGTGTATATTACTTGATTGGATTTTACCTGCTTCGTTGCATGCCTGCTAATTTTTGTTGAATGCCATTTCTTGGTGATTTTAAATATGAGCGCTGTATTTTAAAAATTCTTAAACATTTAGGCTTTTGAGGGGAATAATGAAGTGACTTGGAAACAGTTTTGATACATTCAAGTCTTGATGCTAATATGGATAGCGTAGGTACAGGACATTCTCCTTTCGTCTAGGCTCATTTGGCCCCCCTATTCAGATATAATTACTCTCCTGATAATTTTACCTCGAAATTTCTGGTATGTTAGAGAGGTCTACATACAGAGAGCCCTTATTTTTACAGAAAATCTGCTCTAACATACAGGGAATCTGTATATTAACATTCCTAACACACAGAACTTCAGGTAAAAATTGGGTAATAGGAAAGCAAACCATTGGCGATAATAGGAACAAGTTTTCACAGTCCTGGTGAACTCAGAAGATTTCTGCGTACTCCTTCTATGGATCTTTTCCTTTAGTTTTGGTCAGTCTCCTTTGCAGAGATTTGCTGAATAAGTAACCAGACCTCTCCGGTCTCTCCGCTTCCCCCACTTCCATCCCACTGTCGCTCCCTACCCGTGGTATTTGGCCCTCAAAAATTCTTTCTATTTCTTCTTTCTTCTTTCTTTCTTTCTTTCTCTTTCTTTCGTTCTTGCTTTTTTCTTTCTTCTTCTTTCTTTCTTCTTCTTTCTTCTTTCTTCTTTCTTTCATGTCTTCTTCTTCTTGTATGTCTTCTCTCTCTCTCTTTTTTCTTTTTTTCTGATAAAGTTTTTTTTCTTATTGGCCCAGGCTGAGTGCAATGACACAGCATTCAGTCACGTGTACCTCCAACCTCCCGGGTTCAAGTGAATTCTCACTGCTCAGTCTCCCCAAGTTAGTTTGGCTATTTAAACAATACCCTGCCTCGTTATTATCCAGCTCTATTTTTTTATTTTTTTTTTTTTGTATTTATAGCAAACAGGGTTTCACCATGTTGGCAGGCTCGGTTCTCGAAACTCTCGTACCTCAGGTGATCCACCTGCCTCGGCCTCCCAAAGTGCCGGGATTACAGGCGTGAGCCACTGTCCCCCACCGACAGGGAAGGTTTCTACTAAGGACCGTGAGGGAGAATCTATTCCATGCCTGTCCTCTAGATTCTGGTGTTTTTCTGGCAATCTTTGGCATTCTTCAGCTTGTAGAAGCATCACCTCCATCTCTGGCTTTGTCTTCATTCAATGTTTTTCTTGTGTATGTGTCTGTGTTTGATTCTCTCCTTTTCTAGAAGGATATCAACCATGTTGGATTAGGAGCTCACCCTGGTTTAGTATGACCTGCTGTTAAGTAATTATATCTGCAAGACCATTTTTCCAAATAAGCTCACATTCTGAGATATTGGGGGTTAGGACTTCAATATATGAATCTGGGGAGGGAAGACAAAATTCAATGCTTAACAGATCACCTGAGTTTAAAGGAGCTTCGGACCAGCCTGGACCAACATGGAGAACCCATCTTCTACTAAGAATACAAAATTAGTTGGGTTGTGGTGGGCTCAATGCTTATAATCCCTGCTATTCTGGAGGCTGAGGCAGGAGAATAACGTTTTGTTTGAAACCCAGGAGGCAGAGCGTTACAGTAAACCGAGATCGCGCCATTGCACCCCAGCCTGGACAACAAGAGCGAACCATCTCCCAAAAAAAAAGGAGGAAAAAATGAGTTTAACTTCTCAAGGTCATCTACTCACTACCTGAAAGAGTCTACGGTCATCTCTTCAGGGAAGAAGTAATGCCCCCAAAAGTCCAGCAGCTCTTGCTGAATTGAGGAAATAAAGTGCGCAGAAGTATGGAGGAGAGGCTGGGGTCAGTGGCTCACGCCTGTAATCCCAGCACTTTGGGAGGCCGAGCGGGTGATCACATGAAGGTCAAGTGGAAACAGGAAACAAGTTTCTTCTCTGTTGTGCCATCGGTGAAACTGCCGTCTCTACTTAAAAATAATTTCTAAAATTAGCCAGACTGGTAGTGTGGTGCCTGTAATTCCGGTTGCTCAGGGGACTAGAGGCAAGGAGAATCACTTGAAACTGGTGGAAGGTGGAGGGTTGCAGTGAGTTGACGATGCACCGGCACTGCATCGCCAGCCTGAGTGACAGCAGCATGACTCTGATCTCAAAAAAAGAAAAATAAAAAAGAAAAAAAAAAAAGGACTA